GGGGACCTGTTGCGTCGTTGGCGGTACCGGGAACCGAGACTGGGAACGTTCCTTGTGCCACCGCGCTTCCAGCAGCATTGTCCCGGTACGCGAGTTATGGGAGCCACAGCTGGGTTTAGAAATGGAAGGATGTATTAAAATTATACAGAATCTGCAATGCTTATTCCTGTACGTTCTTACAGCGTGTCTCCTTTCTCGGGAAAATGCTTTCTGAAAGCAGCTCCTTCGTGAAAGGTGTGGTGCTGGGAGGAGTCTTCTGCATGTTGGTGACACTCCTCGGACATATTAAACTGGGCCATGGGACTAAAGCACATCACCACGAGCACCATCACGTCCAGGCTCCCAACAAAGAAGACGTCTTAAACCTTTCGGAAGGTGAACGCATGGAGCTCAGTAAAAATATCCGTGTTTATTGTATCATTCTTGTGAAACCGAAAGATCTGGGGCACTGGGCTGCAGTGAAGGAGACATGGAGCAAGCACTGCGACAAGGTGGAATTCTACAGCTCTGAGAACATCAAAGTGTTTGAGTCTGTAGCCCTCAACACAAATGATATGTGGGCGATGATGAGAAAAGCTTACAAGATAACGTATGAACGCTATAAAGATGAATTCAACTGGTTCTTCCTGGCATATCCAACAACGTTTGCTATTATTGAAAATCTCAAGTATTTCTTACTGAAAAAAGACCCCTCGCAACCTTTTTATATAGGCCATACTGTGAAATCTGGTGACCTTGAGTATGTAGATGGTGAGGGAGGAATCGTCTTAAGCATTGAATCGCTAAGACGACTCGCCCGTGTTCTTGAAGACTCTGACAGGTGTCCAGAGCAGGGAGGTATGATTTGGAAACTTGCTGAGGATAAACAGCTAGCAATCTGCCTGAAGTATACTGGAGTGTTTGCTGAAAACGCGGAAGATTCAGAAGGAAAAGATGTCTTTAACACTAAATCAGTGGGTGCTCTCATTAAGGAAGCAATGTCTACTCACCCTCAGCAGGTGGTGGACGGCTGCTGCTCCGACATGGCCATCACATTCAGTGGACTGGCCCCAAACCACATGCACGTGATGATGTATGGTGTTTACAGGCTGAGACCCTACGGCCACACCTACAACGATGCACTGGTCTTCCTTCCGCCTGCAGGCTCAGACAATGACTGAGGTCTCTTCAAAGGAGACCTGGAACCCTGGAGTCATGACAGGCGTTTGTCCTGACAGATTCAATTTTTTTGTATCTGGTGGTACTGGTGTACAATTTATTTTTTCTTTTGCACATTGAGGTTTGGTAAAGCTCTTAATTTTAAAAGTGGAAGGAGAACTTTTTTCTAAATCTTTTATACAGAAATGCTTTTGGCTGTGCTGGAATGAAATGATAAAGAAGTTGTTAATGATGAAAGGAAACTAAGTTTATATGGGGGGTTTGTACATGTAAATATTTATTAATGAAAACTCAAATGAACTTTAGTCTACTGTTACAAATATATTTTTGCAAGATTTTGATTCTTTCAATTCTTCCAGGCATTTCTAGAATGTCTTTATATCTTTATAAGATGTACCAATAAAACCAACTACAGATTCAGTCTCAAAGCCTAACTTTAAGCTATCTTATCTCCTTTACACTAGACTACACAATAGGTTGACCCTTTATGTACAGCCTCCTAACCCAGTAAGGAGTTAGCAGGAAGCAAACTGACAAAAGAAATCTGTTAGGAAGTTGCCGCAGAGTAGTATTTAAGTGACCTTTGGACTGCTGTTTTTAAGCAGACAAAAGAGTGAGATAACTATATTTGAATAAATATTAACACGGTCAGGTAGCCTGTTAGCACAACGGTAATTGCTCATTTAAAATTTCACTTCACATATAAGCATATTAGAATAAAGGTTCTGTATTATTTTCATTTCTGTAACTGGTGCTAATAGTATTTACAAGGAAGAAGTTGGTTAACTGTCAATCCAAGTGTAGCGTAGATATATTTACAGTTATTTTTAACACCAAGATGCAGAAAAAGCAACATGTACTTACGCTCCCACCCTTTCTTTGAATATTATGTAAAACGGGTTACAGGCTCAACAAAGTGATATGCAAAACTCCCCATACTGGGGCAGGGGGGGAAGGGGTTGGGGTTGTTTTGTGGTGGTTTTCTTTACAATTGAATACTCTTCAAATCAGTTTTATAAAAGTAACCAAAGTGGGAATACACAGCACTTCAGTAGTTACTCCATTTAGAATTCACTGACCTAACCTGGCTGTTTGAAGACTTAGACATAGTACCTTCCTTATCTGCGACATGTGGAACTACCACAAGGTTTGTTGGTACTACAACATCCATGAGAGACCCGAGAACTTAGTATGTTGGTCTTTAACAGACCATTTGTAATATCTCATCCTATCCTGAGCAGCAAGAGGGCAGGGAGGGGGGAAGTGAAACAGCTGCTTCAGAGCTCATGAGAATATCCACATCTTTTTTGTTTTAAGCATCAGGGTTTTTTGTCGTTGTTGTTTTTTGGTTTGGTTTTGTTTTAACAAGAATGGCAAGACAACTGCCGAGACCCCCAACCAAGCTACCACAGCTCAGCTGTTTCAGAAGGTGAACCTTGTCTCACCTTTTGCACATTCTCCTCTTCCTTGTCAGAGCTTGGCTGACAGCAAAATAAACACATATATGATTGCTGCCAAAACCTAGATAAAACTTAAGTTGGTATTTTTGACAACTTTCTGCTAACTTGGTATATAAATTAATTTAAGCATGATTTAACTTGTATCTTTTTACAGACTTTAAAAGGTTTTTTTTAAAAGGTTAGATCCACAGTTGGGAATAGTCTGATTAAGCCCGACAAAGAAAGTAAAATTTTGGTTTCAGTGGTGTTTCTGATATTAAAGACAGTTCTGACCCCACTGCAACAACCACAATCATAGTGCAAGTCAAGGAAAAAGAATGGGAGTTAACAATTCAAACCAGAATAAATCTCATTTATCAGATTTGAGAGGTACTGTAACACAGCAGGAAGAAACAAGATAGAAGGGGAAAAAAGCAAGCCACAGAGCTCAAGACTAGCTCATTTTATGCAAAAAAAAAAAAACCTACTGAAGCACAAACTCATTCCCCATAGCACTAACAAGAAATTAGTACATTTATAGCAGAGTCTTTGAGGTTTGACCAAACTTTTTTCTATTACAGCAGTGTTGCAATCACCTTAATTATTGTGTTCCTACATTAATAAATAGTTTCAGATTTACCCTGTCATTTTCAAAAGTACTATCTTATAAATATTTTTACAAGAAAAAATTAAAAAAAGTACATATTAGGTACCACATTCCATCTCCCATGTCTTAATTGGACTTTACAATCAGGAGAACACCTCTGCCACCATCTTCTGTAAAGGTCCCAGAGCAGGGAAACCAAGCATGCACAACAGCACCGAGACAAGGCAGTTGCATATGAAAGTATGTTCTGCCATGATAAAATTTAAGTGTTAGCATAGAGACTTGAAATATTAATAAATGCTTCCAGAGACAGAGTTACAAGTGGTAGACCTTAAAGTTTCCTTAGTTTATTCAATGATTCCATGGCACAGGAATGTTTTCCATAGGCATAGCTTTGGGTATGCAGTTGCTGAACAAAGAGTTGGATTATCCAGAGAAATACAGTGCTCTTTAACCCATTCTGTAGATGTACATACATGTGGCAGTGTGCACAAGCAAAGATCTCTTGAAGTTCCACCTGAAGAAGTTGCTTCTGGCTACACTGATAACCATGTTTTGCTATCAGGCCTCTGTTAAACGGTGATTTTGTTTCTGCTCCTAAAATAAGAAGGCGAAGAGGGAGTAGAGCATCAGGCACCAAGTTGGCACACACTCCATTTGGAGTATGCCCACCATTACTATGAACTCCACTATAAGGACAGTGGTATCAAACAGTGTTGGCAGGTAGAAATTTGAACATATATATATATATTCTTCAGATATGAACTAGCATAAAAGAATTCCTAGTCCACATATCAGTTTAAGTTCATAAATCCTATACAGATAAATGCATATTAAAAAGCAAAAATCCTTAAGTAAAATACTCAAGTTAATGCTGTTAATAAATTAAGTTAAAAAATAAACGTCAAAAAAAAATGATTTCTCCACATTCAAGAAACAGGTAGACTAACAAGATGTTAATCAGAAGAAAAAAAATCTGAAGTGTTTCAAAGGTCATATAAACCGTATTAATTATATTTCACATACACTTTATATTACTCTTTTAGAAGAGAATAAAAATGTAAACATTTCTTGGCTTTTTCCTCCTTTGTGTTTGAAATAGTCTACTCACAAGTCCATGCAGGATCTTTCCATCAGATATCTTCAGTCACTGAAGACTTGGGTTTAAGACAAAACAAAAGAACTGTAAAAAAAAAGAAATCTAGAAAACTATTGTAGCCTAACAGTACTTTCGCATTCACTTGATTTATTTAGCATAGCCACAGAACAAAATAATTTGTACATTCAGTCACATTAAAAACAAGGAATTACAAAGCAGTCCACATTTAATCTAAGTGCATTCCTTTGGAGTAACAGTTCCTTTTGTTTCACTTGTATGTCTTCATGTGCCAAAGGCCATCATTTAAATAGTGGATATTTTCGATACCAATCCCTTTGTTGACCTTCTCACTGTAGAAGGAGGAAAAAAGGTACAGAAGTATTAGCTAGGTTAAATATTAGATCAGTACAAAATACAATATTTAAAGTAGAAACTGCAAAATTTATCAACTAGAAGGGGAGAAGCTATCATCCACAAAGTCATAATCTTCAAGAGCAGGTGGACAGGAAACAATATTTGTTATTGCATGTACCCACAGTGCTGAATGGTAAGATGACAATATTTGCCTTCCACATTTAGTCAACAACATTCCACAGTATTTTTAACTACTTCTTTGTGGGAGGCAGTTCTTCAGACAACATTTCTGCTACTTTTCTTAATTTTAGCATTTCTCTATCAAAGCAGCACAGCACTTGTAAGTGACTCTCTCCCTCCTAGCACAGCAGGTGGTATAACACAGCTGGAATGTGGAATTTGACAAGTTCTGGTTCCAAGTGTGCTACTGACACACTCAAATGCAGCTGAGCTGCTTCGCTGCTGGTTGCAAGACATCTACCCACTCAATAAAGAATTACAAATGTGAAATTTATGTGCCAAGGACTTGAAGCATGTTACAGACATACTACCCTTCTATATTTTTCTAAGTCATATCTTTTAAAAATGGTTGTTTTGAGCATCTGCATTGGATTTGTGTTCATCTTTTTTCCAGTATATTATTCCATGAAAAAAACTAGTTTTGTCACAACAAACAAGCAAATCTCATCACTCTAGGACTGAGGACAAGTTTCATTCCCCTGGAGAATAGAGTTTTCTGTATTTATACTAAGCATTCCATTACTTATACAACTTGTCCAAAAGTAATCAGGAAGGAAAATAATCCTATGCTAATTGCATTAACACATCATGTATCATAATCACACGAAGTGCCTGAAACCACATTGTTTCACAATTTTCTGTTTTGAACAGTATCACACAAAAAAAGCATGCTAATGGGCTGCATAGATCAGTATAATTTCATTTTCCTCTCCAGTTCATGTTGCTTCTCACAGAAACAGGGCATTCAGCTGCAAGGCCGCTGAACTTGAAGTTAGGGTTAGGAATACAGGTAATCTTGGTTTGCAGTGATGACAGCAGGTCACTGCAGATGTAGGACTGGAACAAAAGTAGCTATTTTTTCCACCTACTCTTTTGAACGCACAACAAAGAATCCTGAGGAATATAATTCCTCAACAGCTATAGCACCTGCAAATCCAGGGTGCTGCAGTCCCACTCTATCCCTTGTGCTACCATTATGACTTAGGACCACTGAGTAACCCAGTACAGACGGTGATCCTGCTTAGAACTATCCCCACAAGAAAGAGTGACTTCTTTTCCTCAAAATCAGCTTCTTCACCCACACGAGTGCTAGACAGGGCTCAAACCAACACAGCCCAAACCTGCTGGGTACATCTTACATACTGCTGCAAGACGTTATAGAACTTAAAACAACCAAGTGGTTTAGCTACTTATAACTGACCACTATCTGAATGCTAAGAACAAGTAACATCCATTACCTCTACACTTCACAAGAAGCTCAGCTATGCTAGTAAGCACATCAAACAGCAATGCTGCATGTGGATACAAAGGGTAAAGAAAAAGAAGGCCACAGAGGAAAGCCCAGCCGGTCACCCAAGTACCAGCAGGACTTCAGTCTCTGCTGTTGCTGCAGACAAAAAAAAAAAAAAAACCAAAAAAAAACACTTCAACGTTTTCAGCCCCTTCAAATCCAAACTACATCTCTTGCCCAGCCCAGGTGGCGAGTGCTCTATTTCTTTGTGTGCTTGTGTATTTGTACTTTGTAGTAAGTACAAATGTTTCTTTGTTCAGCAAGATCTTTGAGAAAGTATGATCAGAGAGGAAGAAATACTAACATTCAGCAGTATGTTGTGCATTTTAAAATCCATATTCACATGAAAAGAACTATTTTGATTCCATTTGGT